TGTACGTTTAGTATCGCATTTTTGCTCTTAAAATTATTATAAACTTCCTGACATTTCGCACTTTAACTTTCCATTTACCGGTATGCTCCTGTGGACATCCGCAACCCTGATCATTGTTGAAGATTATTTTTTTCATTAAACATTTCTTAAACAAATTTAAATATAAACAATAAAAGGTTGAAAATATTTTAAAATAATATTTTACTGATCCTTACAATCAGAAGAAAAATCAAGGATATATAGTAAGACATAATAATAAAGTTTATTTGAAAAAATCACACTTCATCCCAAAAGGCTCGAAGCGCGGTATAAAGTCAGCCATATTAAAAGAGAACTGAAACAATCTATATTTTACCACAATAATACACAAAACGCAACACTAAAAAACTACAAACCAGCATATCCAGTCAGAGTCTTTCATCCTTGCAACCATAAACAACACAAGCCAATATACATCTAGGAGACAATAGCTAGCTGGAAAAGATGGTAGACAACATCACCCCAGCAGGTGTTTCAGACATAGATGTATTTTCAAATCAGTTTTGAAGGCTTCCATCGTCTGCCTGCAGAGGCGTAGCGTAGTGGGGGGCAGGGGGTGCAGATGTTAGTTGCGCCAAAATGTGCTTTGATATTATTTTTTTGATGAAAATAATGGGTTTGAGAGTTGAAAAAAATAAAAAGGGGCGCTAAAAATTGATCTTGTCCCCGGGCGCGAATCTTGTCCCTGGGCGCCAAACACCCTCGCTACGCCGCTGTCTGCCTGTCTCTGAGATTGGCAGGAAGACTGTTCCAAATTGTTGGGCCAGCAAATGCGAAAGTGTGCCTTCCGTAAGTCTCAAGGCGAACACGTATGTTTGATCCTTATTTTGCTACAACAATGCTTAACTATGCAGAAGTCTAAATTTAATTAATTTATTAAAGCAAGGAAAGCACACACACAAATAGGGTGGGGGTGGGAGCAGAGAGAAAACTCAGAAACCAACTCAGCTCGCAGCAATTAAAATTAATTCAAATCTCTTCAAGAGAAATATAACAATAAGGAATTATTTTAGTGTTCCGACATAAGGGACACTACACCTTAGAAATAAAATTAAAGTTTAGTATGACGAATTACCTCCCCTCAAATGTGCAAAATCTGTAGCGTAACAGAGTGGGTGTGATGGAGATATGTGTAGCGTAACGGAGTAGTGTAA